GCGGCGGCGGCCACGGCCGGCTTGGGCGCCGCGGCGGCGGCGTCGCCGGACGCCTTGGGCGGCGGGGGGTTACCCGACTTGGGCGCGTAGGCCGGGTTTGCCAGGTTCTGCGGCTTGGCGCGCGTGTTGACGGGCGCGGTCAGCGCGGGGTCGCCGGCCTGCGTCTTGATGGTGACCGCCCACACGGGCAGCGCGTTGGCGGGGGGCAGCAGCTCGAGGACAGCGGCGAGCTGCTTGGCCTGGAGGCTCTTGAGGGCGTTGTAAAAGGCGGGCTGCGCGGCAAGGGGCGGGCGGGGAGGCAGGGTTGGGATTGAGACGCGCGGGGTTGGGTTTTAGAAGAGGGCTGCCAGTGGCAGTTTGTTTGGGAGAGGGCCGGCCGCGACCGCGACCGCCCGTGACCAAGGCGGGGGCAGCAGGGCTCGGCGCGCGGGGCCCGGGATTTGGCAGGCGGTGGGAGTGGGAGGGGCGGGCGCTCACCCCCTCGATGGTCTTGCCCTGCTTGGTGGCCTGCGATACGAAGAAGGGGGTGAGGACCTTGAGGCGGAAGTCGTCCACGGCCTTGGGGTGGTAGATGAACAGCTGGCTGCCGCCGTGGGAGGGGGGGACGGCGGCGGTCTTGCCGGGGCAGGCGCCTGCGGGGGAAGGGGCACGGGCACGGCGGTGGAGGCGTGCGTGACGAATGGACGACCCCGCTGCAGGCGCGGGGCCCCGGGGGGCGCGGGTTGACAACAGCAGGAGGGGAGATGGGCTGTGCTTGTTGTTAGAGGGGCGGTGCGCATCGTGATGATGTCATTCAGGCGGGGCCGCGGGTGGGCGGCCGAGGGGGAACCCGCTCCGGAGCCGCTGCTGGCGCAGGGGCGCGGGGCGGGGGCCGCGGGGGAGCGTGCACGCGGAGCGTCGGAGGCAAGACGAGCTGTCGTCGCGGTTGCGGCGTTGCGCGTCAGTGATGACGTCATTCAGGCGGGGCCGCCCACCGTCTGTGTCGATGATGGCGACGGCCTCGCCGCTGAGGGGGCCCTGCACGATGGTCATGCGGCTCTTGGCGCGCGCGTCACTGCGGACGGGGGTGGGCCACCAG